TTCTGCAAATCAAAAGCATTAACATCTTAACCTTTAAATCTACCCTAGAACTTCAATTTAATACAGTAAATTTACAACCTAGGTAAGAGCAACTGATAGACAGAAATTTTTATTAGCTAAGTGGGCTGATTCCCCTTTAATAGTGAGTAAAAGACTCTGAGAAAAATAATTTTCGCAGCTGCCAAGAGATCTTTTTTGCAGACTATTACGGGTCCAGCCTAAATGTTCAGCCAGGCATATCAACAGCAGAATAAATCAAAGTAGCTTTCACTTCACACAGACCAGTTAACAGTGGGTTTACTTTGTCCCCACCCCATGATGATTGGTGGCGAGAGACAGACAAGGGAGGGGGTGACCTGTTTTCACAGATCCTCACGCAGATGCCTGCCTGGCCACGTCCCTTGGGAGCTTAGATTCGTCTTAGCTAAGGTGCACCCGTATAAACCCCGGGCCTGGTCACCTCCACGTGAGGTGAGTCACCGTTATGCCATATGACGAATTGCAGAACCACAGGTTGGGGCCCACTCGGACTCCGTAACTGAAGTTGTGGAGCCACATAAAGGAGAGGAGAGGGAAGGCCCCCTCCCTCCACACTCACACACTTTCACCAGACATTCACTCAGAGTTTAAACAATCCACCCAATTCCTAACAATTTCCCAATTCCTGAGGGAGCTCTATGGCTTCCCGGGAGGTGATCAAGCTCCCCTTCCACTCATCAGAGTGGGCCTGACTGATAGGGGGTCTACAAAGATGACTGACCCTAACCCATTTTGACAAAGACAAAGACAACAAAGAACAAAGACAAAACAAACCAGACAAATGCAACCTAAGGTAGCCTGGAACCTGCAGCTCGCTCCTTGAAGTCATGAAAATTTTCAAAAAACATTGCAGCGGGGTGCACACAGAAGCAGACGACTTTTTGACAACAAATACCAGATAACAAGCACCAGACAGACAAACCCAGTGCAACCGAAAGTCACATTTGCCAGATGCTGTGGCCACCGTCGTGGCCCCCCAGCTGGAGTCGGGAGGTAGTGCTGCATCCAGCCCTCCACTTGACTCCCCTCTGTGAGATCTCACCCCAGGCGTCTCCGGGCCTTACCTCCGGCCTTCCCGGCCCAAATGGGAGAGCCTCCTGCCCCTTGGGGGATACCTCTCACCACTGCCGGGTATCTCGCTGCAAAATTAGAACTTTAACTAAAAGCAGTTTATGGTGGGTAGACAAGTCCTAGGCCAGTATCTTCCCTGACAAACGCCAATCTTTACCTTAACTGAGCCTATTGTCTTTTTGCATCTAAGATAACATACCTGTGAAACGTCAGGGTAACCTGTAACTTCCCTTTTTCTGGATCCCTTGGGGCACAACCCAATGCCCTGGGCACCAGGACTGAGACCATAAATTCCTTCATTGTTATTATTATCATGTTAATTGCTGACTCTTAACTATCCTGCACCCAGCTGAGTAAAAGAAGTGTCTAACATTTTATTTTTTATCCAGTCCCAGAGGTTTTCCCCTTTCCGACCCCCTCCAACCCTTTGCTTTCTCCTTCCTCCCTAATCCATCACCAATGGATTTCATGTAACCCACTTGTGTCTCCTTTTTTGATGTAATATATAAACAAGGTGAAGACCTGCCATTCTCCAGAGCACTACCCCAGTCCTTTGAGATTCTGCTTCTCAGCAATGGTCAACAGTTTGGCTCAAATAAACTCACAAAAATTCTTTACAGGTTTCAGTGTTTTTACATTAACAAGTTTCTATGTGCCTGTCAGGGCAGAAAAGCCAAGCTATCCAGCTGCTGTCAGGCCTGCCTGCTATATCTGCAGGGTTGAGCAAATTCTTCACCAAGATCTGTACCTACAGCAGCTCCACCTGGCCCCTCGCCCTAGGCTTCAAGGCCCACCACAGCAGTCCTCCTACTGATGCTGAAAAGCCATTTGAAATACGTGGTCATAAACTAAAGCTTGATGATGTGTTTTCCCTAGTGATGTTCAGATTGAAGAATGAGGAGTGTGAATTAGTGGATCACATCGAGGAGAAGGAGGGAAGGCAAGAGTATAATTTTGTAAGGAGTCTAGAATGGGGAATGAAGAACAGGAAGGGTAACAGACATAGCAAACCACATGGGACTACTATAGAGTGTGGACAAAAAAGGGCCACAGGCTAACCTGACAAGCTTGGGAAAGGCTTGCATGGTGGCCTTGCAAACTAAGAGACCTAAAGTAACCACAAAGGATGGTTTGAAATTAAAACTTTAAAAAGCAGTCTATGGTAGGTAGTCATGTCCCTGACAAAGACTAACTTAGATTTTTACTGAGCCTATTGTCGTTTTGTATCTAAAATAACATACCTGTGGAATGTCAGGGTAACTTGTAACTTCCCTTTTTCCAGACCCCTCACAGACAAGCTAGGCACCAGGGCAGAGATCACCAATTCCTTCATTGTTATTGTTATCCTGTTAATTGTTGACTGTTAACTATCCTGTACCTGCTGGAGGCTAAGTCCAGCAGGTCATAGTAAATGTGAGAAGTCCTCAAAAGGTTGAATGGACTCTTTCAGCAGGGATGAAAGTCTGCATGTTATTACCTGCTGCTGGAACAGCTGAGGGCAGTTCCCCCAACCTGATAATACTTTATTGTTTACCAAACCGTCCCTTTGATATGTATATCTGCTTTGCTATAGGGCAAAATGTGTGAATAAAAAGCCCTGGGTGCAGAGATTCAGGGAGTTTAGTTACTAAAGCTAAGCCTCCCCTGGCTTCCCCAAAATGCCCCCCAAATTTACATTTCATGTCTAGTCTCTTTATCAATTTACGTTGCAGCTCCTTCTCCAGATTCCTGAATGCTTGTAGATGCGGAAAAGACCCCGGCATGTACCCACCTATGTAAAAGAAACATGTGTCTATTTTACTTTTTATCTCCTAGTAATCCCAGAGGTACCTGCCCCTCTTTGCTTTCTCCCACCTTCCTAATCTGTCACCAATGGATTTCATGTAATCCACTTACATCTCCTCCTTTGATTGTAATGTATAAAACAAAGTGAAAAACCACCATTCTCTGGAGCATCATCTTAATTCGTTGACATTCTGCTTCTTGGCAATTTTGACAGGTTGGCTCAAACAAACTCACAAAAATTCTTTACAGGTTTGAATGTTTCTTAGGATAAAAAGAGCAAGCTGGAGAGCTAGGACGGTAGGGGATAAGGATGTTGGAAACTGATATTCAGAGGGGCAATGTCACGGGCAATGACATGGACACAGCAGCAGGTTAGGAAGAGCAGGGAGGAAGTAGGAACCTGGGCTGGATTACACACACAGTGCAGTAAGGGAGAAAATGTGATGTAAGAGTTAGAGCAGTGGTTCTCAACCTGTGGGTCGCGACCCCTTTGGGGGTCGAACAACCCTTTCACAGGGGTCGCCTAAGACCATTGGAAAACACATATATAATTACATATTGTTTTTGTGATTAATCACTATGCTTTATGTTCAATTTGTAACAATGAAAATACATCCTGCATATCAGATATTTACATTATGATTCATAACAGTAGCAAAATTACAGTTATGAAGTAGCAATGAAAATAATTTTATGGTTGGGGGTCACCACAACATGAGGAACTGTATTAAAGGGTCGCGGCATTAGGAAGGTTGAGAACCACTGAGTTAGAGTCTTGTATGTCTGGCCACGGATGAGGTAAACTTGTCCACAAAGTGTTCTAAAAGTCTCTCAGGCAACATGGAAATGCAACTCCTGAATAGTCTTTAATAGTGTAGTAGACTTGTAACTATCTCTGAAATAGGATCCCTGGCATCCTATCAATAAATCTTAGCTGACAGTAATAACTGAATGAAGCTAAGAACAAGGCACTTTGCCACTGAATTGAAATACTGGTAGTATCCATATACTCTGCTACCATTAGGCAAGATGGAGGGTGTAGCCCTTACCCTGGGGCAAGATGGAGGGCGTAGCCCTCGCCCTTTCAATATTGTACTTTAGATATCTGATTGGAGAAGGATACTTTGTGTGACCCAATGTTTGTAAAATAGAAAAATAATGATTATAATATTTATCCAAATGACATGGCATTTATTTCAACTTTAATATACTATGCGATTAAAGCAAATTAAATTTGTACTCATTTTTATAAAATAATCTTGAAAATTACTGCAGTGAACAGCTTAATAAGTACTTGTCAAAACAGCCTGCTATGAGTTAAGATGTCTACCTAGAATTAAAATATTGACAATATAGTAATTGTTTTAGGCTATTTAGTACTTTGGAGTCATAATTGAATAAATATATTCTTCCACAGTGCGCTGAAAGTACCAATTTACACTTACACATTTTAAATCAAAGACTTCTCCAAGTGTGGCTTAATTTTTTTATTACTATAAATATTCTGAACTAGTAGACAAGTTTAATACATCCTATATAATAAAAGGCTAATATGCAAATTGTCCCCTCGAGAGTTCAACCAACCAGTTTGACCACTCGCTATGATGTGCACTGACTACCAGGTGACTTGGAATGAAGGAAGGTCCCAGCCAGCAGTCAGCAGCCAGGGGAAGGAAGGCCCTGATTGGCCCTGACCGCTGGACAGGCCTAGGGACCCTACCTGTGCATGAATTTCATGCACTGGGCCTCTAGTAGTAATATAACATATAAAACTGTATATGTTTAAAATACTTTTTATGTGATAAATTTTAGTTGATTAGTTTTGTAAATATAATAAATATAATTCAGTATAGTTAACGGTAATATCTGCCTAATGCTAATATTACTACAAAAGAAGCCAAAAAAAAAAAAAAAAGAGCAGTATTGTACAGACAAGGTTGGGGGTTTGGAGTATTATAATGTTTGTTTTCTCATCCATAAGATCTTTCCTTGAATCCAGAGTCAAAGGCACTCTTTCCTGGGGAACATGTATTTTTTCTTTGTATTTGGTATTTGGTATTTCCTCAGTTATACACAAAAAGGAATTGGATAGAACTTGGTAACAGCTAGAGCTCCACATTAACATTTGTTTCACAAGCCATGAATAATGACAGCAGTCCTTTGCGTACATTAAGAAGCTCCTCTTCTTGCTATGGCCAAGAAAGAAAATTATGTCATTATTAGGGATTCATTTTAAAACAACCCCTTCCACAACGCTATAACAAATGTACTCATTCTCTGCTCCCCCAGCATCTAGTCCTAGATATCTACAGCACTTGGTGATCATCACTGATCACCAATTGAGAAAAGACTTTCAGTCTTTTCAATCCCAAGTCAATGAAATTTATATTTAATATTTAAAGAAAGAAAGTAAAGTAAGTATAGGCTAGGAAACAATTTCAAAAAGGATCAATCTAGTTAGTTAGCTTGTCTGCTTCAAGCTCAACATCCTGATCTTCAACTATTTCAGCATGTTGAGCTTCTATTAAAATTTATTAAATACATTATGGCCTATATAAAAGGATTAGTACCAAATATACAAAAACATGTCTACTCTCTTTGAGAAAAAACTGGACATGTTCACTTGGAGCAGTGCCTTTAGCCCCCATACAACTGTACTTTCCCCCCAGAACCAGCACTGGTCTAGACCTGTAAGAAGCACTTAATTTTATCCCCAAATCTATGTATACAAAGTCTTGTTGTCCAAGTGGACAATAATTTTTGGGGGGTTTCCTGATACCCCTTCTCCTTGAGAAGGCAGAGTTCTACTGCTCTGCATAGTGCTTAGACTCATTCTTCTAGAGAACTGTTTAAGTGGGAAACTGATAGTCTTTTTTTCCTTTAGGAGGGTCTCTATTTATTCACTATTTATTTATTTATTTTTAACATATATCTTTTATTGATTTCAGAGAGGAAGGGAGAGGGAGAGAGAAAAACATCAATGATGAGAGAGAATTGAGCCCCCAACCCAGGCATGTGCCCTAATGGGAAATCAAACCGTGACCTCCTACTTCATGGGTCAATGCTCAACCACTGGGCCACACTGGCAGGGCAGGAGGGTCTCTTTTAAATCACTTCTAGTATTTTACTATAAATATGCTCCCATTATTCTAATTTACATACCAAAGTCAACTAAGCTAAAACTGCCTCCTCTCAATCTAAAAAGAAAACCTGTGAAACAATTTCCCGTTAAAAGAAATAAAGGCATATTTATTCCATTTGAAAAACCCAAACTAGATAATTGATTTACCATTTTCTTAAGAAGCTTGTCTTGCAGAATTTTCATGTTTTCTTTCATGAAACACATCTGTAAAATCAACATATGTATTTTCCCCATGAAATTTACTATAAAATTTTCACAAAGATAGACTAACCAATACTGAAATTATATAAAAAATATGAAATTGATACCTCAGATGTACAAATAGTTTCTTCTTGACCTGTGCCATAGAAGACATTTTTGTCCAAGGAAGCTTTCAAATGGTGAAGCCTAACAAGTAAAATAATGACAAGTTACAAAGGCATTTATCAGGAAGTCAAATTAAATCTCTATAGTATAGTATATAAAGTAAACATTATAAATAATACAAACTAATTTTATAGATTCCAGTCCTAGAAAGTGTCATACTAACCTCTCTTGTTCACTTTTTTGATAGACACTGAACTTCTGAACCATCTTTTCTCCAAAGTCCTAAATTTTAATACAAAAACTAGTTATGCTTTAATAGCATTAAATATTCAAAGTTGACAGTAGAATTTTCTATATTTCTATTTCTAATTTAAATAAACAAGCTGGCTACATGCTAAGAATATTCCAGATGTTATAAACTCTTTCTAGATAAAAAATATTAAAAGTAAAATCTCTCTTGATTTCTCCCTCATCATAAATTTAAAGTCTATAATTTAAGTGTGTTGATAAGAAATCGACTAAAAATATTTATGGAGGCTCTAAAAGCAGGACACCAAACGTTTTCCTGAGTGTAGCTCTTTAAAAATGAGGTTATACAATTATTTTTAAATTCTTAAAACACAAACCGCGAATTCCTTCTCCAAATCTTTTAAAGACTGTGAATCTTTTTCAAAATTCTCCAACTCTTTTATGATGCTGAACTGGAATTTATCAAGTTTTTTTATCCTATTAAGGAAACAAAATAAGATTATTTTTAAAAACTATAGCACTCAGAACATACAGAGTTCAAAGAAGATTTTTATTACATACCTGTATTCCTGAATATGACGGTTCATTATTTTCAGATGTTGTTGAGCTGTTTTCCAAGACTGCATAGTAAAATTATCCATCAATTTGTGGTGACTCTGAAAAATATTTGTTAACAAAATAAAAAACAAAGCCTTTTCCACAAAATGTAAATGACTAAGAACTTAGAAAAGTGAAAAATTAACAACTCAGTGATGGAGCCGGAAGTGTTCATGAGTAAGCTCAGGCAGAGGAGTGTCTGCTTCCATCAGAAAGGCTTTGACTAAGGGCTGAACTGGCAACTAATCATTTTCATAAGGACACTACACTCTACAATATTTTTAAAAAATGCGAGTGATTACAATTCCCTTCAGGAACACAGCCTCAAAGTCAGAGTCAGAATTATTTATTACCATTTTTCACAAAAACATATACAGACAGTCCTCGGGTTACATCATTTTAGTCAGAGTCAGAATTATTTATTACCATTTTTCACAAATACATATACAGATAGTCCTCGGGTTACGTTGGACTCAATGTACATCATTTCGTGGTTACATCGCTATCTCCCATCTATACTAATAAAAAGGTAATATGCTAATTACACCAGGAGACCTTCCCAACATCCTTCCGGACAAAGCCATGGTGGTGGGGCCAAGGCAGTAGCAGTTAGGGGCGATCAGGTCAGGAGGGGAGGGCAGTTGAGGGCTATCAGTCTGGAGGGGGGGCAGTTGGGGGCAAGCAGGCCGGCAGGCAGTGATCAGGCAGGCAGTCAGGTGAGCAGTTAAGAGCCAGCAGTCCCAGATTGCGAGAGGGATACCAGATTGGAGGGTGCAGGCTGGGCTGAGGAACCACCGCTCCCCCCACCCCCGTGCACAAATTTCATGCACCAGGCCATTAGTTTATTTATTGAAAAAAAAAAGTTTCGTCATTTTGACGTACGTATATATGTGCTTTATGTTTTTTTATCATTTATTTACCACAAGTAAAGGTTAGGAATTGTTATCGTTAAATTTCTTTTACTGTTTCACTTCATTACTGCTGTGTATGTGCTCCATGTGCGTGATATAGATGCTTATGTAGGTGGGTTCCGACTTACAGTGAAAATCGCATTACGTCACGTAGGAATGATGGATCTCTGATGTAACCCGAGGACCTACTGTAATCACATCTAGCCAGATATATAATACAGGGTGTGGCAAAAGTAGGTTTACAGTTGTGCATAAGGATAATAAACTGTGTTTTGAGTACTCAGAACTGTAAACCTACTTTTGCCGCACCCTATATACAAGTCAGGGCTTCTCTATTTTTTTAAAATATATTTTATTGATTTTTTACAGAGAGAAAGGGATAGAGAGTTAGAAACATCAATGAAAGAGAAACATCGATCAGCTGCCTCCTGCACACTCCCCACTGGGGATGGGCCCGCAACCAAGGAGGGCTTCTCTATTTATACTAGGTCAACCTCAAATAAATCAACATGACCACATTGGAACCTCAATAACTAAGGATAGATATATACTAGTAAGCACAGAGCTGGTCAAAGTGAAATGGGATTTCTCTGACAGGCTGCTCATCCTTTAGTACCCTCACTAGCTGTCACCTCTGAGATTAAAAAAAAAAAGAACCACCACAGAAGAGTCAAAATGTTAAACCAATCTACTTATATAAAAACCATTGGTGGTGTTCATCACATCCAGAAGAATAGCCGGGACCAACCGGAAGGAAGTCAGTCCTACAGGGGTTGTCTTGGCAACGGCTGCGCCCTCCCCCAAGCTGTTTCTCGTAAGGGCTGGGTTTGAGGCAGGAACCCGCCCTTGGAGTGTGGACCCACTGAATCCTGGGTCACTTTGCCAAGGGCTGCGCCCTCCCCAGCTGTTTCCCGGAGCTGTTTCTGGCAAGGGAGGGGTTTGAGGCAGGAACCCGCCCTGGGAGCGTGGTTCCCTGGGAGTGTGCCTCGCCAGCACGGCCAGGGGTGAACCTGAGTGGAGGCGGCTGAAATGCTTAGAAAAGACAGACAAGAGAATGAAAGCCAAGTCTCGGTGGGACACTGCTTCTTTGAGAGACAGCGATCCTGCCCACAGCCATGCCTTTATTTTATAGCAGATGCTACAGGCAAAGTAAGGGCGTGACCAAGATGTTTACAACATTCTCCTGGGTTTCAATCCTACTCAACTACATGCACCTGAACTCTATCA